TCACTTAAGTTATTATTTGTTTAAGGGTCTATATAGGTCATTTTAGATGCACGTAGATGCATATAGTTGCATTTATGGTGGTTGTGTTATTTTATTTTGTTAAGGTGCTGAATGAAGATGAAGGCATTACTTTTAATGTTGTGTAAGAAATAGCAAGCAAAAGGTTGTACTATGGAGGAATGTCATGACATCAAACATTGCTAAAGCAGATTGAAATCCCTTGGTATTTCTGGCGCAGAAAAGGACAAAAAGATATTTTTGTAAAAGGACAGCTGGCAAGGCACGCGTTTGTTGGTTATAATTGTCTGCTGGGGACCACTGCCACTTGGGAGGATAAGATTCACGCCCAAGGAGTGATTCTAGGGGTATGATGGGTAATAGAAAAGTTAAAGTCCATTATTACCCTTGGATATTATATTTTTATATACACTTCATATGAGAGAGAAAAGAGAGAGGAAATCAACCATCTTCAGCTAGATTTTCTCACCTTCTTCTCTGTATCCTTATGTTCATTCTCTAGTGGTGTTCCTCCATTTATGAGCTCTAAGGAGTGGCGAGCTAGGCGTCCGAGAGGAGCTAACATGCTAAGGCAAGTCGTGGTGGTTAAGGAGAGCTTCGGCTGAGCGCGTTGAAGGCTTCTTCTCCCTTCCCCTTTGTTGTTATTTTCCATTTAATCTTCGGTTATTGGAATGGATGAATTTCATGTTTTGTTTCATGGATGATTCGAACCCCACCATGAACTAACCTTATTTGGTGGAGTTGATTTATGGATGTTTGATATTATTTTAATGGTAGATTTACATTTATCTTTTGCGTTTACTTGTTTTGCTTATGAATACTTTATCGTCTAAGTTTGTAGGAGGTATGAGAGTGTTCATTACTTAGATGAAAGATAAGTGTTCGAGAGAAACTTAGCTATTAATACTTGTAGTATTCGAGAGAAACGCAAGTAAGATTCATAAGCAATGGGGTGTAGTATTTTCTTAAGCTTAGAATCGTCATAGTAATACTATATCCTAATCCCTTAGTACTTGAGAGAGACTAAGATAGGATTTCAACGACTAAGAGGAGTAGTTTTTATCAATAGTGTAGGCTGTCATAGTTGAGACTGAGAGGATATGTCGTGGCATTCTATTCTATTAGGTTCCTTTGACTAGAGATAGCGGGAGCATTTTTAGCAAACCCTGTCGAGCAAATTGAGCTTAGATAAATCGAATCTACTTGAGAAATAAGTTTTAGTATCCTTAAATCAATCTCTACCATTCATTCCCGTGGAAGCTTGTTGTCTGAGGATTATCAAAATATCAATTATTTATTGTTTTTACTGTTTTTCATTGTCGTGACATTTATATCATTTTCAACATTATAATCTGCTCTTGCCACTACATTTCCATTTGATACCCCATCAAACTATCAATCCATATCCACCAACATACACTTTTCATTATCGTGACATTCTCCATTAGTACATATCATCACTAACTATACTTAGATAGAGTAGTGCTTTGCTTTGGTTAAACTTTGTACTTTCCACCAATCTCTATGGAGACGATACTCACTCATCACTTTATTACTTGAGCAATTGTGTATACTTGCACATTATTTGTATATAATTTTATAGTACTCATAACACGCAACATATATATATAACTAACCAGGTACACGCGTAATTGGGTACCCGAAAAAACTCAATTTTGTGACCCAGCCCGACCCGGGAAATGTCGGGTCGGGTACCCGACCCGGGCTGGTATTTTTTTTAGAAAATTACCTGGTTATTTTAGGTTCGGGTTAGCGAGTCGGGTCAAGTGGGTCGGGTATTTTTGTACACTCCTAACTAAAATGATCAATATAAGAATAAGGTTCTAAATTTAAGAGAAACAAAATATTGGTTAACAAACAAGGACTAAAGTGAAAGTATATAAAATAAAGAATCAAATGTAAAAAAGCATAAGTTAATAGGTATAAATGACTAAAATAAAATTGAGGGAAAATTAAAGGGACTAAAATATAAGCTAACAAACCAAACAGCCAAAATTAGAATATTAACATAACTATATTAATAGTATGAAGCAGGGACCGAAATGTAATGAGGGTAAAATAAAGTGCTCGAAATAGAAGAATAACCAACTTTATTTAGTGACTAAAATGAACTATTACAAACTAAGAGTGACTAGGAAAGGAATTAATCTAGGTACTACTCTACAACCCCAAAATGACACCGTATAGAGTTCGCTATGCCAAAATTAGGCCTAAAATGGCCATGTTTTTCATCTTATCCTATTTTCACTATTTTCCCAAAATGGGAAAAGTTTTTCCTCTCTGCCCTCTCTCCTCTCCACTCCTCGTCGGGGGAGGCCGAAAGCCTCCGGCCACTACTCACAGGAGCGCTCACCACCACACACGATGGTTGAAGTCCTAGAAACTCAACCCAACACAATTCTTACTATCCCCTAAACCCAAAAACAAACACCACTCAACCTATAAATACCCCTACCATCCTAGATCTAAAAAACGAAGGGATTACCATCGAAAAACGACGGTCATTTTTGCTCTGGTGATAGAGATCCAACGCTTCGATGTGAGTCTCTCTCTCTTCTCTTTCTGTTTTCTTTTCATTCTTTGAAAAGCCCCTCCCCCCCCCCCCCGTTTTTGGCTCTCTCCTTTCGTTTTTATCTTTACATGTTACAAAGAGAGAAGATTTTCCCTTTTTGATTTTTTTGGCTTTCGATCTGAAAAAGAGTGGCAAACCAGTGGGGACATCGCCTGAGTTCGGCGGCCTTGACGTGCGAAAAGGATAGAGAAACATCTTTTTTACCCTAGGCATCACGGGTTTTCTTTGATGGTCGGCAAAGAATATGGTTGTGGTGACAATAGCAGATACGCTTTTGGGAATCGAAAGCGCGTGACGGTTGTATTCACGGGAGTATATGGACCGTTGGATCACATTAACGGTTGTGACAGTAATGATGATGGATGATATATTAGGGTTTGATAAACCCTAAGTACTACTTTGGTCTGGATCATTGGAAAGGTTCCAGATCTGACGGTAGATCTCGGCGACGACTAAGGTTTGAGGACCCTAAATGTTGTTCTAGATCTAACGTTCTCGTGAGAGGCGGCGCTGAAGGGTTTTAAAACCCTAATTATCCTTTGATTCAGACCATTAGATGGGAGGCAGATCTAACTGTCCTCAATCCACGTGGCACTTGGCCAAGGATGACAAACCCTAGCCGTTTGGGCTTCACGCAAGTGGGTTGCATACCACCTGGGCCTGCTGTTTGGGTTGTTAGTGATTACTTTGGGGTTTGTATCAGAAAAATAAAATGAAATTTAGTGTGTTTTAAATTAATGTATACATATATATATTCGATTATTTAATTACTCATTATATATGTTTATACGTATATATATGTATATAATAATGGTTACCTATTCTCATAACAATAATATATATGACCACACCCATAAGTAATTATTGATAAGTAACCCTACGTAATTTTAAACACACCCATATATATAATATAATATAAATCTAAATAAACTTAAATGAAACCCCGGACAAAACAGGTGTCTACACATTACATATGAGAACTATAGTTTTGGTAAGCCAAGCCATATTGCTCCCGTTTCTTTGGTGGCCACAGTACACATTCTCTTGATTTGTTCAAGTGGATTAAAAAGAAAGCTCGAGTGTGAGTTTCCTAAGTGGCTGTTTTTATTAGTGTTCCGTTTTTTTATTGGTTTTCACTTAATTTATTTGTAGTAAACGTATCTATTTATTGTGGGCATGTGCTTGTGATTTTGTAGGTCCTTCTTTATTATTAACTAATAAAGAATAATATTTATTTCCAATATTGAAGGTAGAATTTTTTTAAAATTTTTAAGATGAATATCATAAGTCTCATTTATTTATCCGAATAATTCAATTTGCAAAAATATTTTTAAAATTTAAACTAGATTCTTTCAAATAGTAAATGACGAGTCGAATATAAATTATTTATAAATAAAAAAAGAAAAATAACAATAAAATATGAAACAAGAGTGAGACGAGAATTGTACATCTTTCGATTTTACTCTTAACGATTGATAGGATAAAATATAAAAAAGTTAAAATAAAATTTTAATATTTATATTTATATTTTTTTTTCCATTAATTTGACCCTTAAAATCTATAAACGTATATGATTGAAAAAAATGCATCATTCAATTAATGATAATTTGTTTCTATTTTTAAAGTCTAAAAATTTAATTATTAAGTAAAAACTATAAAAACATGAGATTAAAAAATTAATTTATCTTTTTTATAACTGTTAAATCAATTGTTAATAATAAAATTAAATAAAAATAAAATATGAACCAAATTTTTTAAATAAAATGATATAAAAAGCTTACAAAAATAAAATATAAAAGTTAAATTTTTAAAATAATATAAAAAATTCAATATAATTAAACTAAAAGAAAATCAAGAAAAATATGTTATTAGGATAAATTCGATAAAATTGTCTAAATATTATGATGGAAAATTCATATATATGATGTGAAGAGAATTATTTTCTGATTTAGGGAGGTTGTTACAGTATTCATCGGAAGACGTCCGGATGATATGACAACTTTTGACAGGATTCGGATAACACAATGTCTTCTCCCTAACTATATGCACACCTGAAAACTTAAAACGTTACAATTTTATCAAAAATGCCTTTTTGTCTGGGCGTCCTCCAATCGGTATTATAACAATTACACTAAATAAAAAATAATTATGAGACCCTGAGTCAAAAATTTATTCCATGTCTAAATAAACAAGTAGCAAAACACTCGCGTTTCATGTTGGGTATATTTGAGGTAATTAATAAAGAAAAAAGAGAGTTAATTTGAAAATGAATAAAAGTTTGAGTGCTAAAATAATAAATAGATAAAGTTAAGGGACAGAAAGGTTGTTATACCTAAAATATACACAGTTTAAAAACTTTTTTTCCTTCGTTTTCTCGAAATTACTTCTCCGTTTTCATTTAGATTCTGTTTCGATCAAAAACGAAATTTTCTTGTTGTTTCTTCTCGGGGTGAAAAGGAAGAACATCTTCTTCATCTATAGCATTGATTAAATCGAACTCTGATCCGCCATGGTACGTCCTTTCTTTACCCTTCTGTAATTTATTTTCCCAATTCAGTTGCATGGATTTTTATTTGTTTCGATGAATTTTTATTAAATTTCAACAAAAGTAATTGTTTCTCAATGCTAATTTGGGTTGTTAGATTGCTTAGTGAATTTTTAGTTAATTCAGGTTTTGGTAGTCGGCAATGATATTTTGTTTAATACTATGTTACAAACCTTTTGGCATGATCTTTCAAATTTTATCTTAACTTGATCTGGGTCAACTTCTTTACTTTCTTTTTAGGGTCAATTTAAATTTGGGTTTGGATTTTTTTTAAAGCGGCTAATGTGTTTTTAAAGGATTTTGTATCCTCGTTCTTTGTGAAATTAAAATCTGAATTGTTTGGTAAAGCTGGTTTAGGCTGCATAATGGGTCAATACCTCTATTTCTTAATCTTTTTATCTCAGGTTTGATGTTAGAGGGATAAAATGTTTCTGTTATTCGCTGCTTTTTTGTTATTGAATCTTGACTTTGTTGACATAGTTTTGGATGTGGTTAGATTGGAGGGAAATGAATCGAAGTTCATATCTTCATCCCTTATGTTTCATATTGATTTTAATGATAAGAATGTAAATTGTATATAAGAATGATTATAACTTCATTGATTTTTGGTTATGATATATTTGAAGGAGATGAATTTAAATTCGAATCACTAACTTTATGTTTCGTATCGGTTTTATGATTCGAGATAACATTCAACTCTTTGCAAGAGTTATGAGGTTTGCAGTAAGCTTTGTTGGAGCTGCCTTAATTTCCCTTTTGTTTTGGTTCCTATATCAAGAAATCTCAGATTTTGAAATATTGTCTTCTTACTGATAAGAACATTGATCAAAGATAGATATGGTAACTATAGATGAATGTACATTGTAATTATGATACTCTTTTGTTTTGATGGTATGATCATTATTTTTCACTTATCCATATTCCCTTTTATGCAGGCTGCCAGGATTCTTGCCAACTTAATTGTAATGGGGTCGGGTATATTGGCTCGAGCTGTTGTTCAGGCATACCGTCAAGCACTTGCAAGTTAGCTCAGTATTACACTACTGTTATTTCGTGTTTCACTTTGCTTTAAAAAGAGGAGCCTGTTTTTATTGATTGTTATTAAGATTTTATCTTAACAATGGTACAATTGTGTGTTATAATCACCGTAACAGACGCAACTTATCGGGAAATTTACATGATGAACTAAACTGATTCCTATTTTCCTTTTTGACATATACTGTGTATGTTTTCTTGAGAAATTTGATTTGGTTCCAAAACCAGCATCCTATTGTAATAAATTAGCAGCAGTGATGTGCTTTTATTCGAAAGATCAGTACACTACAATTTTGTTTAGTTGGTATTTGCAACTCGGTTATTTCCTTTCTATTGTTAAACTCGCTGTGAGCACCGAGGAGGTGATTAGTAATGTTTTTATAGTGACAGCTATTGTGTTTGCTTCATATGTATAATCTTTTGAACAGTAAGGTCATCGCAGATGCTGCGAAATCTGGTGTTACTCATGAAACACTACAAAATGCCGCCCGCCGAGCTGGTAGAGTCATGACGGAGCAAGAAGCTAGGCAGATTCTTGGTGTAAGCGAGGATACCGCCTGGGAGGAGATAATGAAGGCTAGTATTTTAAGCATCTCTTTTCGTTTTCCCTTTCAGTTGTTTTCGTCTCGAATAACCTTTAAAGCTTCTTCCATTACTTTATTGCAGAAGTATGACCATTTATTTGAGAAGAATGCCAAGGTCGGGAGCTTCTACCTTCAGTCAAAGGTTCATCGGGCTAAGGAGTGCTTAGAAGCCGCCTATCGAGCCAAAGGAGAGGGCAGTCCTCCTAGTTGAGAATCCATCCAGGTTTACTCGTTTCACATACAGATGTCCATTTGTAATCTAATACCTACTCGAATATTATAATTTTGTGTCCACACTGTTATATAGTTGATTGGTTGCATATAATGATTAAGTTTTTGTTCCGGCAATATGTCATTGACGACTAACTTGTTGCAGCTGTAACAGTTACATAGTAGTTTAGTTGAAACTTGAAGCACTGAAAAAGTATGTAAGAAACTGTATGTAAAGAACAATACCGAGCGCTTGAATTTTATCAGTTTGCATTTGTTCCAGTATGTAAGAAACTGTGGTTTTATCAGTTTGTATTTGTTCCAGCATGTTCTTCAAAACTTAAGAATTCTAAGGAAGCTTGAAACTAAGGTATGAATCTCCCGGCGTTCCACTTGCCACCTGTGCAATCGCATCCACAATTTTTCGATATAACCAAAAATTACCTGTGAAAGAAGTCGAAATATTAATTTCAAATTTGTCGACATTAGAACTCGAGTTTCAAATCGGTTACAAGTCGACATTAGAACTGCGAGCGTCAACTGCTGCTTTAATTCTCATAATGGCTTCCTCTCTGGACACCACCTTCCTGCCTTGTTTGTGACCACAAGCTTTCGGAGACACCTAACGGTGAAATTTTATAAAACCTGAGCCTCAAATATGAACAAAACCAAATAAGCAATTCAAAGATTATTTAGAAAACTGCTTAGAGGACCATAAACATTGTTTACGGAACTGCAGTGTTCGTATAATGTCAATACAGCAACAAAAATATTTGAAAAGATTATTTTATTTTTTTGCTCAGAACATGTACCTGATCTTCGAGAATGATCCCGGCAAAGCCGGCTCTTATATATCCTTTAACAGTTCTCTTCACATTCATCGCATTTCCATATCCATTATCACCATCTCCAATAACAGGAATCGACACGGCCTGGGTGATTTGTTGGCCCTGATCAACCATTTCACCATAGGAAATAAATCCTGTGTCCGGTAAGCCCAGGCGAGCAGCAGAAATGGAAAATCCTAACGATGGCAACAAAGGATGTTAATGCACAAAGCATCTCGAGACAGTCGAGCAACAAGATAGTGAAAATCGTTTAAACAAATACATTTGTGAAATAATACACATTTCAGATTTTGATTCTGGAAAATGGAAATGCATCAAGCTTAAAGGGATAAATTCCAAGAAACAAAAATAATAGTGTTCTACAATGAAACCAACATGTGGTAAGAACAAAAGGACCAAGATTGCAGTATTTACCAAGTTTTTACTATAAAACCCCACTGAATTCATATATGGTCCTCAAATTAAGTCCAAAAGAACTAGCTTTAATGAAATGATCAGTTAGTACTTTGAAGTTAAGAAAATGTAATTTCTCAATCAGAAATTTGTAATTAATGGAACTGCAAGAACATTTTTCTTAAAAAAATCCAATTTTAAAGAGAAACATTAACCATAGAATCTCAAGTAGTTATCAATCATAGAAGCTCAAGTAGTTATCAATCCATAAGCAAATAACAAGTCTTGGGATAATAAATAGGGGTGAAAATGAACAGATTTTGAACCGATCATGAACAGCTTCAAAAATAAATCGAACATTAACAATTTAAAAAATAAATAAACAAGCATGTTATTAAAATTTGAATGGAACACAACAAACCATGAATACCTTCAAAAATAAACAAACAAATTCATTCGGGCTCGGTTCATTTACAACCCTACTTATAAACTCAAAGGCAAAACTGCATAAACCATCAAAGAAACCCAAATCACAAACACCAGCTGTTTACCGATCAATAAACAGAAAAGATTGAAGTTTTTAGATCCAACAACTCCAGCTAAAGAAAACCCACATCTTGGAATTCATAAATCAATGAAAAGAAACTAAAGGAAAAGGAAGAGAAAAGGTACCACTGGTGAAACAATACCGAAAGCCAGCTCTTTCAACAAGCTTAGCACTAAGACCATCAAAACAAGCAGGGCCTTGATGAACCCCAGGCGATTCCAGAATCTGTCTAAGTGTCCTTGCAGGCGAACTCCTCTCACCTAAGCAACCAGTGATGACTTGGAGTCGTTTAGGAGCGGTGAACGAAGTGTGAGACTTTGGCTTTCTTGTGTGGGTATTGATGGTGGGAGATACAAAGGAACCATTTTTTAAATTTGGAAGAGGGGAAGAGTGAGATTGTGGGAAAGGGTGATTGAAAACAGAGAGAGCTTGATCTCTGCTAATCACTGATGATGATGATGATGGGTTCATGGTTGAATATTGAAAAACTGAAAAGTTCACTCAACTCTCAGTGTCACAATGTCTTTGCTTTCGTTCTGGTGACAAAATTGAAAAGGCAGTTTATAGTCACGGAATTTTCTTCGGGCAAAAATAAATAAATAAATACAATAAATTTGTCAATGGCGATTTGATGAGTAAAACATCGTATAGAATTCACATTTAAATATTATTTTTAATACATTTAATTATGTATTTAATAATAAATAATTTTTTTAAAAGTCAATAAACAATCGTGTTAAAAAATATTATGTTAAATATTAAAAAGGATATGATATTGATATAATCTGATATATTAATAGTTTTAATATTTAAATTATATACTATAATTTATCAATTTAGCTATATTTTAAGATTAAAAAATAATTTTTTATATTTAAAAAAACTCTAATTTTAATCTTTGTTCATTTTTTAAATTATTTCTTTTTGCACGAAAAAAAATTCATTGGTTGAAGTGATGATTTTTATTCTTAGAGTTAAAGGTCTCGAGTTCGAGCATGACACTTGTAGGGATGTTTGAGAATTTATTATTAAAATGATTAAGAGTTTTTCGAACATATACTATTTTATAATTATCTTTTGAATAATCAAAAAAAATATTTCTACCTCTTCTCCTATGAATATTATATCTTTTTTATTAATATTATTTATTAACAAAATATAATTGTTCAAAATTAATTTTAATTTGACGAGTTTGTTTGATTTAAGAGTATTTTAAAAGACTGAATTTAAAAAAATTAAATACAAAGAGATAAATTTATTAAATTATTTTAAATTAAGATCAAATTTATAAAATATATGTTTTAAGATTAAAAATAGAGGTGTAATTAAATAGAGCGTTCAGTAAACTGTTCGTGAACTATTCGTATAATATTCTTTTATGTTCGGTTATTAAACTAAATAAACGAATATGAACAAAAATTTTGTGTTCATTTAGTAAACGAACAAACACGAGTAGAGGTGTGCTCCATTTGTTTATGTTCACAAACATGGTTGTTTATGAGCTCGTTTATCAACTTGTTCGTTTATGTTCATTACAAACTTGTTTTTTTTTATATTTTAAATATTGGTGAATGTAGGAACTAGATTGAGCATATGATGAAATTTGGAGTTTAAACTATGAAGTTTAAGGAGTTTAAGCATTAGTGACATAATTTTCTATTTTTAGCTTGCAAACCAACATGTTCCCGAACGTTAAATAAACATATTCGTGAACATATAAATGAATATATAAATGAACGTTAAATAAACATGTTCATTAATGTTAAACGAACATATTCGCAAACATTAAACGAACGAACACAAATACCTTAAAAAAATAAATGAACATGAACACGATATTAAAAATTTAAACGAACATAAACTGAACATGAACACCTTTTAAAAAGAATAAACAAACAAACGCAAACACAATCTTATTCGTTCAAACTCGATTCATTTACACACAATTAATTAAAAGTTTTATTATATCACTTCAACATCTAAATTAATTGGATAACGTGAGAGAAAAAAGTTTTTCATCTACGGTGTCAATGGAATTATTTTTCTGATATAGGTTGCTATAATACACACCGGAGTCATCCGACAACACGTCGTCTTTGAGACGCGTCCGGACTACAGGTAATATTTAACCCAGATGCAATATTATAAACTTTTGTACATAAATTAAGTTACAAAAAAAAATATCATGTAATCCGAATACTTTTTCTGAAAATGGCATGTCGTTTGAACGACCTTTGACATACACTATAGCAATCATACTTTTTGACAAAACAAATTTACCTACATCCTAGATGTTTTTTTTTTGTTCATCTCAATATCTAAGCAAGTGATATATTTACAATAACACTTTAATTAAATAATTTGTTTAAAACAAAAACAAAAACAATCTATTTATTATCAAACATATAATTAAATGACTTGGAATATATTTTACCTTATATTTAAAGAGGCTGATATTTCGATTTTCCTTTTTTGTTTTTATTATTTTATCATGTTGTCCGCTCGTTGCCTCTTTGGCAAATTTATTCTTTTTCCTTTAAAATTCGAAAGGAAAAACCCTTCAAAAATCATGAAATTCTTCCAATTTCCGTAAAGAACAAACAAACAAACAAATTCTAGGAGAGAAACAGAGCAGATTTTCCAACAATAAAGAAAGAAAGAGAAGGAGCCAGGTATTATCATTAATATAATTGGATTTTTTTTTTCAAATTTTATATATTTTAATCCTTTTTGTTTCGGTTTCGAATCTGTAAAGCTGTGTTGTTTACGTGTGCCTGTCTGTATCCATTGTTTTCTTCAACTATTATTATTACCCCCTTGCTTTCCTCATTCTTTTTTTTTCAAATTTAAAGTTGAAGGATTTCGTTTATCTTTTGAGTTTTTTATTTGTTTTGTGAATTCTCATCGACCCTTTTAGACATCGGCCTTAATTTTTCTGGGTTTCCGTTTAATTTTTGCTTCTATCTTTAATTTCTCTGATGGAAGATGGTTATCGGCGACAAGGCTTGGTGGTAAGGCTTAAAAGGTCTATTAATCTCCTTCAGTTTTTCTTATGAATTCGAATGTTGAAAATGTTAACTTCTTCGAAAATCCTTCTCATAACATTTGATTAATCAGTTATAATTAATTCAATTGTCCTTTTTAGCTTTTACTTTCGCGGTAAATTGTATCTTCATTGCCTTTTTGATCAGTTACATGGAATTATTGATTTTAAGCTTGTTCTTCATATGTGTTTGTTTCTATTATCATAGTTTAATTTGATTTTACTCTATGTTCATTTGATTATTGATGTGTTCATAAAACTTTATGCAGGCACAGACACCTCCTCCTGGCTACTTTGTTCGACTAGAAAATTCTGACGATTTGTATTTGAGGAGAAGATCGAGGATGCGTCGATGGCTTTGCTGTTCGTGTCTGGTCGAAGAGAGTTACCAGCCGCATGAAAATGAGCACTTGAAGAGCATCGATGATGATACTGATGGTATGCTTTGATGCTAACTTGATTTGGTAGTTCTGACTTGCAGTTATGAATCTTTTCGCTGTGGGAAATGTGGTTATTTTTGTGCGATTGTATGCGTCATTGAATTCTACTTTGTTGAACACCTTATACGAAATTACCTAAAACCACTGAATAGAAATGTGACTTGGGCTAGGCATGAGAGCTAAATAACAACTTCCGAGATATTTCGTTTATTATTCAAGTTTAACTTGTGTCCTTTCCATGATTTGTCGTTGCTGATGTTATGTGCTTTCAGGGAATCAAAAGAACTCAAAGGCGGCAGCTCCTGCCAAGCACGAAGTGCAAAAATCAGTATCACCTATTGAAGTGCCTACATTATCACTGGAAGAATTGAAAGAAAAGACTGAGAATTTCGGATCAAAGGCTTTGATTGGAGAGGGTTCATATGGAAGAGTTTATTATGCAAACTTGGACAATGGAAAAGCTGTGGCTGTGAAAAAGCTTGATGTTTACTCCGAGACTCACTCAGATGTTGAGTTTCTGACCCAGGTTTGTAGGCAATTAGAACGAATGGTCTTTTCTGATTGATAATGCAATTTTATGTTGTTCAAGTATCTTGTGTTTCCCCTTTTTCTTAGCACTTCAACTTTACGAACTTTCTTTGTTAGGTTTCAAGGGTTTCAAAATTGAAGCATGACAATTTTGTTGAGTTGCAAGGTTATTGTGTTGAAGGAAACCACCGTGTGCTTGCATATGAGTTCGCGACAATGGGATCACTACAGGACGTATTGCATGGTTTGTGAAGTCATTGTTTTATGCATTAGTTCCTGATAGAGATTTATCGGACAAGATCTTGTTACACAAAATAGACACTATTAGTTTGACTTCTTTCTTTCTGGTGGTTCTAGGAAGGAAGGGGGTTCAAGGGGCACAACAAGGTCCTGTGCTTGATTGGATGCATCGGGTAAGAATTGCAGTTGATGCAGCCACGGGCTTGGAATACTTGCATGAGAAGGTTCAGCCCTCTATTATACACAGAGATATCAGATCTAGCAATATCCTTATGTTTGATGATTTCCAAGCAAAGATTGCAGATTTTAACCTCTCAAACCAGTCTCCCGACATGGCTGCTCGTCTACATTCCACTCGAGTTTTGGGGACCTTTGGCTATCATGCTCCAGAGTATTCTTTCTAAGCTCATTTTATGTTATGTTTAATTTCTTCTCGTATAACATCTAGAAAATTATGCATAATTACTTATTGACATAACCTTTTCCCCCTAATGAGGCTGCTATTTAGACTCCCTATATTCGTTTCTGCTTCTTTTACGATAGATAGAAAATGCATCTAAGGTCCAACAGGCTACATTGCTGAGTCCATTATCTGTGTTGCTAGAACTACAGGGCATGAATTTATGTAGTTTTTTTTATGAATGCAACACTATCCCGGACGTGCTACGGATATAATCTATGATATTATTGCTCCAATTTGTTCCAGGTATGCAATGACTGGACAGTTAACGCAGAAGAGTGATGTGTATAGTTTCGGGGTTGTCCTTCTAGAGCTTTTAACCGGAAGGAAACCTGTCGACCACAAAATGCCGCGTGGACAGCAAAGCCTCGTTACCTGGGTGAGTTAATGTTTTCTCTTCTTTCTATCAATCTTTTCCCTTTTCTTTATCTAGTGTGATGGTGCATTTTTTGTTTCGTTTATATAGTGCTCGATCTTTCGTATTCACTTTTAATGTGACTAACTCTGCAAAGTTTCTTTTTCCTCGAATTAGGCTACTCCAAGACTGAGTGAAGATAAAGTTAAACAATGTGTAGATCCAAAACTGAAGGGAGAGTATCCTCCTAAAGGAATTGCTAAGGTACTTCTGTCGTCCCGTGTCTTCTTAACTTGTTCGAACACCGAAGACATGTAACAGCGACACTAAACTAGCAGTTAACGGTTTTCATTACGTTTTGTTGATGCAGTTAGCAGCTGTGGCAGCATTGTGCGTGCAATACGAAGCTGAGTTCCGTCCAAACATGAGCATTGTCGTCAAGGCTCTCCAACCACTGTTGAAGGCCCCCACTCCAGCTCCAGAGCCCGAGTCTTAAAATCAGATGAGCCTCGCTCCCTCATCTTTCATCGAAATTTTCCTAGCCCAGGCACAGTTTGGCTTCATCAATCGGAAGCTTTCATTGGATCACTAAAATAGTAATTGTATTTCTTTCTTTCCATACTTTTCAAATATAACATGAACGTGTAGGATGAGTTCAACCGTTTACCATCGCCAACATGATCTGCCCGTCACCAGATTTCAGACCTCGAGTGCCGAACTTTTCCGAACTTTTATCGAGTTTTAATCATCGAAAGAATTGACCAATGGATTTGGGTTTGTGTAGTGAATATAAATGTTAAATGAGTTATATGTTTGCTTGGGATTTTTTTCTTATATTTTGTGCTAAAATGATGGGTTTCTTATTTCTCTAAGGTATGCTTTGATTTGTTATGTTTAAAGTTATATACTTTTATATGTAAAAAGAAAAAAAATGGTTTTGTGAATTCCAATAATTATACAACTTTATGTAAAGGGTATATATATATATTTTTAAGGGGTGTTCTAATTAATCCATTACCGTTAATCATAACAATTAATCGATGTACCGTTAATCATAACAATTAATCGATGTAATTGCTACATTTTATAGGTTAATTAACTGAATCGTTAAGGTTTAACTCTTTCGGTTAATTGAATCACTAAAAGTATTGGTTAACAGTTACGATTACGATTACATAGGAATTTCGATAAATGGTTAACCATCAGTTAATCGTTAATAAGTTATAGTAAATTAATTATATTTTTAGAGAATAAATTTAGAAATAAAATCAAAATTATTCCTCCTATTTTTTAGTTATCATATTTATATTATATAGGAACACATTAAAGTAAACATATTTTGAAGAAATATATATTTTAAATATATATATATATATTTCTATAAAATAAAATACATTTATAAATAAATAAGTTTTTTACAAATATATATATATATGTTTATTGTCGTAAATTTATGAAAATTTAAAAATTTTAAGTGTTTGTTATGTTTGAAAAATATTGTAATAGGTTAACTATAGGTTAACCTTATAACCGAACCGTTAATAAAAGTTAACGTTAGTGGTTAACAATTTCTTAATGGTTAAGTTATGATTAACAAAATTTAATAAATATTATAACGGTTAGTTGACCATTTATGTAACACCCCAATTTAGGGGGCATTAAAAGACCTTTAACTTTGACCGAGTATACCTATCCTGACGTTTTCCAACGTTCCAAATCCGATTCTACAATCCGTTTTTCGAAATTCAGACCCGAAGGCCTGGAAATTTCCAGTCAAACCCGTTGACTTTGATTTTGACCGAGAATTCAAGATTTTCGAAAAGTCATATTTTATGTTTTCGACGTCCTGAATCTTAATCCGAAGTCAGTTTCGCCAAATTCGAACCCGGTAAGCTGTTTTCACTGATTTATCATCCCGGTCCGATCCGTTTTTCAGAATTAAGCTCCGTTTTTATATAATTTATGTTGATATGGATCCGAGGAAATATTGGAAGATGATTTCAAGATCGAGGGCGTTTGAATGGAATTTAATGGTCGATCAGTATTGCATGAAAATCGAGGTAATACTTTACTACCTCTTTATGCTTTATGGAACATGTTGATATTGGTAAATGCATGAATAAGATAATGTTGATCACTTTTGTGAAGTTGAATAATTTATACACTCGATATGAATGTGGTAGAAATTCTGTAATTGAATACGGATCGAATGACTAATATAAGAGATTTAAGAATTGTTAGAATTAAATTACAAGTTTGTGATTAGTGATAAAGAAATCAGCCATGAATTTGTAACTTATATTTTATATCATCAAAGGTTAAGTGTTAAAGGTATTTGGATGGGAAATTATGAGAATATTCCGGTAGGGTAAAATTACAAAAATACCCTTATATTGTAGGATGACAAGAATTGTCCCTGGAAGTTGGTTAATAACTCTGAAAAGACATATTGATCCGATATAAATATTGATGTGCATAAGAAATGTTAGTTTTACTTGGAAATTATGGATAACCGGTTTTTAATCGTATGAGTGTTTGTGAATGATACTATAAGTCTGTTAAGAGAATTATTTCAAGATCAGAGAATGTTCAAGAAAACAATTAATCATAAGATCTCTAAATTATATTATTTTCGTTAAGAGTTAATATCGAAATTATCTGGTTAAGAAATTACGGAAATGCCCTTAAGATGTAAAATAGTTCGAGTTGACCCTGAATTGGAAATTACTTTGAAGATTTGTACTTAACTTGATTAAGTACGAAATTGTTTGTTAAGATTTGTACTTAGTGCAAAAAAATTCATGATATTCCGTTTGTAAAATCTGAGAAGGCACTTAACCCGAAAATATTCAAGTAATGAGTAAATACCTGAAGAATAATTTATCGGGGGTATTCTACTGTCAGAATTGTTCGAAAGAATTGAAATAAATTATAAGATTGAATTTAATAGTAAGATCAGACGGGAGAAAATGATTAGAATACACTGAATCTGTAGAATGACCAAAATACCCCTGTAATGGAAATGACCTAAGAATATCACTAGGAATGATTGGTTATCCTCGAGCTTTGAAATGAATGGAATAAAACTGAACACCAAAATTACCAAAATAACCTTATGGCCTAAACTACGTAAATGTCTTGGATTAATTAAGGAATCCAAATAAGCATAGGTCTTGGACTACCTTTAAAAGCAATGTAACACAATTTAAGTGAGTAGATCAACCTTAAAGCTATGTCAATACCTGGATGGCATAGATATTACTTGAATGTGTGTTTGTCTCCTCAAGTTTGGCTCGATGATAAATTTTGGAAGTATTCAGCTCAGCTCAACTCTAGATCGCATTAAGTACTAAGAATTGGACGTTTGTTCAACAAATCAACCACGAATACCAAATTGAATGGAATGAAAGTACAATATGTATCTAAAATTCAGGAACGTTTGAATTACTCTGGAAAATCCCAAAGTAACTGGAATGGACATGATTGCTAAATGAACTAGGTAACCTCAATGACTGAGGATTTAGTAAGTGATTTGGATAAGTTTGGAAACACTGATGAGTTTACATAGTGTACAATTACAATGGGTTATGAACAAAATAATCAAATACGTCAGCATTACATGATATTGTGGAAGCGTGGAAATGAAATAAAGACATTGGAAGATCTATTCAGCGATGATTTCAAAAAAAATGATTTATGGACAAGAATTTGTGGTATTAAAGAGTAAATATCCTGGAAGAACAATGAATTGACCAATCGATAAGCATTAGTTCTAGGAACTATTCATCTAAGAGTTGTTCGATAATAAGATCAAACGACATATTTTGTATAAAGATTCCTGAACACTTTCCTGATGCACATGAATCATATCGGAATTCTAAAGTATTAACCTTAAATGTCGGATTAGATTGGTTAGCAATCGATTCCCTTCAATAAGACCTCATTTTTAGAATATGATCAAATTACATCAGTTTCATGTTATTCATTCTGATAACTACTAAGTGTCTCTGAGAAATACTTGGATATCCTAGTGTGTTTCACATGTACCACATGACGATTTTATATGTTTTTAAATGAGTTTCACCGAAACTATTGATTTATTGGTTTATGAACCATGACAACATGTTATATGTTTTTTGATTATGGGTTTTACCGAAAAATATGAATTATTCCTGATTTATGACATCATGGAATCTACTGGTTTTATAAAACTATGTTTACTTGAAATATGTTATCGGGTTTCCTATTTTCATTGGAAAATATGATCTTGATAAATCACATATTGAATATTTTTATGAGACAATTCCCGATGTTCTGAATACAGTTTATTTTGATATCTGATTTACCACATATTTTGATATGGTTTCTGGTTACGGTATTTTTGTACATGATTTCTAAATATGGATTAATTACCGTTACAGTTCCCCCAGGTCCCTTTGCTGTGTGCAAGGGTAAGCCTTACAGTTCCCCCAAGTCCCTTTGTTGTGTGCAAGGGTAAGCCTTACAGTTTCCCTAGGCTCTTTTGCTATGTGCAAGTATAAGACCTTATCGTTTTTGCATGCTCCTCTGCTTTGTGCACAGGGTAAATATGTTTTAAACTGCCACTGTTTTAAAAGATATGTATCTTTTCACTGGTTTTAAGGGAACACACTAGATAACCTATTCTGATCTCCTGAACCTAAACATACGAAATATATTTCTCTGAACTAAACGCTTATTATCTGTTACTACCTGAAATATCCGTAAGATCTCTGCTCAGTATAAAGATCTGTAGATGTCTGAACTAATAAGGAAATATATGTTTATCGGTATCTGCACGTTCTTCAGCATCATCTGGTAGTTATGTATTACTGAGCTTTTCGAAGCTCACTCTATTTCTCACCATTGCAGGTTAGAAGAATTAAACTAGTGCATCTATCGACTTCAGTAAAGGAGTTTTTCCGACGTTGTTGCAGAGTATGGTACATGTGATTAGGGAGCATGTAATTGTATTTTATTTTAAATACGAGACAGTTACATGTTTTAATAAAAGTTTTAAATTTTCCGCTATTTTTATAATGGGTCGCTCCGGTGGCCCTAATGTGACACTCCAGATCGGATCGGGTTACCCGCATCGATCTGAGGGGGTTACAGTTTAAATTTAACGGCACGATTAACCGTTCATAAAAAATATTTCTCTTATTTGTCTGTGTTTTATTCAAGTAAAATAAATTTTAGTCGATGTAAAATCAATATTAAGTTAATAAAAAATGTTAATATCGTAAAATGACTTATCGTATTTTTTAAGGGAAAATGACAAACTAACATTAATAATAATAAAAAACATTGATGTAAATAAATTAATAATATTTTTTTCACAGTTTGATACGTCAAAGTTTGAGAGAAAAATAATTAACTTATATCGATATAGATAACTTAATAATTTTTATCATAAATAATACTAATTGAATTATTATAATATTTTAAAAATAAAAATACTAATTATTTATAATGAATAACAACTAAGTACACTTGTTCATTAATCAGAAACGTGTTGGCCTATACATTTTTCTTAAGACAAATTTTCAATCATTTGACACTCGAGATATTTAATCGTCTGCCCCTCAAAATAAAACCACTAGATGATCATCTACAGTAATGTATCATCCCTTGTTTTTGTCTATAATAAGAAAATTAGATAAAGGAAAACAAAATAATTTGAAAGTTATTTAAAGTTCTTGAATTCTAAGATATTTTTAATCAAGAATGTTAGCTCTCTATCTATAGGGGTTAGCTCTCTATCTATAGGGATTCTCAAAAATGATTTACTTATTCAAATTTAAATATATAATAATATCTTTTAATTTTAGATATTCAAAATATATATATACATTT